TTTTTTGGTTTGAAGTAGTACTCTATATAGAAGTATAAAAACAGAGATAAGATAATCAAATAGTCTAGTCAGCTTACCGATGAAGGAATTTCATTGTGTACATTATTTGTTGATTTTGAGGACGCCACAGATAAATTCGAATTGCCACAGTGGATCTTTTGTGGCCCAACCGATGGTGTAAAACAGTCGCCTTGTTTTCTTTTACTGTTGATCTGTGACCTACAAGAAACGTAAGATATATTAACTATCTAGTAAGTTTCTAGTAAAGACATATAAACATCATAGTAGATTTGAAAACTTTTGTCAACTGAAATCACAGTGTGAAAGGATTGTCAACATGATAAGATACCATCCTTACCAATGAATTTTGACTCACACTCCATCATATCATGAATCAATACTTACACATTATTGGATTTTTGTTCTTTATTTTCTGAATCATCTTCAGCTTTATCGTCGACCGATGAATTTTTGGTTGGATCCTTATTTTCCTAGTATTAGATAGCTTTTATATATTTTATAGAAACATCGGTAAAATTACCTGTATGGACTTATTGACAGATTCATCCAAAGATGATATGTCTGTCTCAACACCACCTTCAAGGGTTTTCCATTCAACTCGAAGATGCTCAGGTAGAGCCATCATTTCTGCATGGCAAGTAGCCATTTCATCGAGCTTTTTTTCATCATCTTCATTGAACCAATATTCTTCATCTTCTTCGGCTAGTTAATTTTGTATAATTTAGTATAATTGTAATTTATTTTGATAATTTTTACTAACCTGTTTCAAACTTATTCGCAGTTGATCCAAAGGCTAAGTCGCTCATTGAATTAGCAGCATCGTCTTTTTGACTATCTTTTTCAATGAATTTTGCAGCCATAATTACTAGAAACAATGAAAAGAGATAATTGTGATTAATATTACATCATATTGCATCAAAAAAATAACGACTTTGCGAACGATACCCTTCCCAACAAAAACGCTTATTCACTTACTTGAATATGTTGGTCATATTTGGCGAAAATATGAAATAGTAAAATGAGTGAAAGTTTATCTAGAACAAAAGAATCATACAATTAGAAAAACGTGTTAAGTTGTATAATATGTTGGATGCAAATCGAGCTTGAGAGCGTAGTGTGACGATTTTTGATGGAAAAGAGGTATACGTTGATGGAACTACGCCGTTATTTATTTCTTCCTCTCAAGATTCGCATCGTTCTCATACAAAACACGCGCTTATGTACTCGTCCATAAAACAGAACGAAAGAAAAGATCATGCCAAAGTACACCAAAATGCACTAAGAAAGAACATAAAGAGAGAATAATCCATCAAGTAAGGAGAATCGAAAGGAAAAAAATCACGCGTACAGCGCATGTATCTGAGAGCGTCACATACAGGATGATTCACCTATTTTTAGTAGGTTTTGTGAATTTATTGTATTTCTACAAAACGTCAGAATTTTTTTATTTCTATATGGTTAGATAGAGCGTTGATTACTCTATCGAATGGGATAGTTTTCATTTGATTTATCTCATGTGTTAGTTAAAAAATCATTAAAGTTTCGCGAAGTAGGCAAAAAAGTTTTTTTTGGAACTTCAAGTAATTCGAGTTATTGTAACGTATTGGGCAAATGAATATATTTCGTATTTATATAGTTCGATAGAGAAATGAATTCTCTATCGAACTATATATTTTTTAGCAATTTATTTTCCCATTTTAACTAAAAATTTAGTGAATGTTTAGGACATTTTTTTGATAAAAATTCATTTATTTGTCTTTGTCGAGTAAATTCCAGGATGTTTCACCTATTTTTATTAGTTTTCTACGGTTTATTGTATTTCTAGAAAACGTCAGAAATCTTTGTTTCTATATGATTACATAGAACATAGATTACTCTATCCAACGGTATAGTTTTCATTTGTTTTATCATACGTCTTGATCAAAAAAAAAATTTTTTAATTCTAAAACTAGATAAAAAAAAATGTTTCAAACCTATACTTAACTCAGGCCAAATTTGATTGTTGCGAAATTAGCCATAAACGGAAATGATCCTTCGAAGTTAAAGTTGTGGCTAAGTATTGAATGAAACTGTTTTGAATTCCAGGAGAAAATAAAATTTTACTCTTAGAATTTTCGACACTTTTGCACTACTTCATTTCCAGTCTGTTCGTTTAATCTCAAATTTAACTATAAGATTTTATAACTAAATTAGGCTAAAATTGCATTAATCGATAGATAAATTGTTGCTCAATCCAACTGTATATTAATGGAAAAGATTGATATAGATAGACAACTAGAATTTGCTCGACAAAGACAAATAAATGAATTTTTATCAAAAAAAATTGCTAAGCATTCACTAAATTTTTAGTTAAAATGGGAAAGTAAATTGCTAAAAAAACATATAGTTCGATAGAGAATTCATTTCTCTATCGAACTATATAAAAACGAAATATATTCATTTGTCCAATACGTTATAATTACTCGAAGGAAATATCTCCGAATTCCATAGAAAAAAAATTTTTTTTTACCCACTTCACGAAACTTTACTCATTTTTGTGTACTCAAAAAGTGAGTACACTCTAGAATCGGTCAGTGTGTCCGTCCGGCCGTTTACACGATAACGTTTGAAAGAAGAGTCCAATCGCGATGAAATTTTCTACACAGTTTAGTCTTAACAATGTCTCGGTCGAGTTCGAAGATGAGAAGGATTGGCCGAGCCATTCCCGAGTTATTGCAAAAATAGTCATTTTTCCCTATGGCTTTCTATAGGAAAATCGACCTATTCTCACTTTCGTAAAACACTTTCCCTATCGTAGTCAAATGAAACCCCAACTATTATATACCATTCGATAGAGAATTTCATGAGCTACAAAATGGTATATAAAACATAAAGAAACAAGAAGGCTAGTTCACCTATTCCAAAGATAAATAAACCGAAATCGGTTCTGTTTTTGTCTGCGCTCTAAGCGGTCCACAAATAGAGCTCT